AGTTGTGCCAAGAAATCTGGAGAACAACCACTTGGCCAACTGACTGGAAGAGATCTATATGTGTTCCCATCCTAAAGAAAGGTGACCCAACAGTGTGGAAACTATAGAACAATCTCACTGATTTCTCACATGCAAGCAAGATTCTACTGAAGATTATCCCAAAACGACTGGAACAGCACATCAGCAGGGAACTGCCAGAAGTCCAGGCTGGATTTAGAAGGGCTCGTGGTACTAGGGGATATTGTAGCTAATGTTAGATGGATCTTGGCTGAAAGCTGGGAGTACCAGAGGAATGTCTATCTGTGCTTCATTGGTTATGCAAAGGCGTTTGACTTTGTGGACCATAACAAACTGTGGCTGACTCTGAGAAGAATGGGAATCCCAGAACACTTGATCATTCTAATGCTAAACTTACACTTGGACCAAGAGGCAGTCGTCAGAACAGAGCAAGGAAACACTGCATGGTTCAAAATTGTGAAGGGCATATGCCAGGGATGTGTCCTGTCTCCACACCTTTTCAACCTCTATGCAGAACAGATCATCCGGGAGGCTGGGGTCTATGAGGAGAAATGCAGTATCAGGATTGGTGGAAGATCTATCAACATCTGTGCTAAGCAGATGACACAACCCTGCTTGCTGAGACTGAGGAGGACCTGAAGCACTTGCTGCTGAGGGTCAAGGACTGCATCCTTTAATGTGGACTGAGGCTCAATGTCAAGAAGACAAAGATTCTCACCACTGGACCATTTGGCCGCATCAGGATGAATGGTGAAGAGATTGAGATTGTTCACAGCTTTAGTCTGCTTGGCTCCACTATCAACACTCTTAGCACCAGCAGCCAGGAAATTAAAAGACATTGCGATGGGAAAGTCTGCTCTTAGGGACCTCTCTAAAGTACTAAAGAGCAGTGGTGTGTCTCTGGAGACTAGGGTGTATCTGGTACAGGCCATGGTCTTTGCAGTCACTTATGCATCAGAGAGCTGGACAATGACTAGGGTGGATAGAAGGAGAATTGATGCTTTTGAGCTTTGGTGTTGGAGAAGAGTGCTGAGGGTACCATGGATTGCTAAGAAAACAAACATTCATTCTGGAGAGGGTTAAACCGGGCTGCTCCTTGGAGGCAAGGATTCTGAAACTTCCTCTGACATACTTTGGTCATGTTGTAAGGAGGGACTGGTCCTTAGAGAAGGACATCATGCTTGGGAGGGTGGAGGGCAGGCACAAGAGGGGAAGGCCCTCTGGGAGGTGGATTGATTCGGTGACTGGGGCAGTCGGGATGGGATGAGTGTCTTGGAGACAGTGAAATTGGCACAGGACAGAGCAGAGTTTAGAGCTGTTGTTCATAAGGTCACTATGAATCGCAAGCGACTCGACAGCACATAAAAGCAACTTTTAGGCACACAGTTTAAATTCTCCTGCTGCTCCATAGAAGAACAATGGGCGATTTCCTTCTATTTGATTTCCTGCCTCTGAAAACCTGCTGGAGGGTCCACTATGAGTTAGTTCTGATTTGGCACAACAGTGACATTTTCATATTTAAATACTCTCATTTTATTCTATAAATTTCCGTCATAGAAATCCCATTTCTAGGGGAAAATTGCTATAAATATCATATCTTAGCTAAATTGTTATCATTAGGGTACTGTCAAGTTACCTGTGACTCATAATGTTCCTAAGGGATGATAGAAGGAAATACTGCACCATCCTCCTAATTGCTGCTTTGTTTGAATCCACTGGTACAGGCATTGTGCCAGTCTACAGTTGTTAGGTGTGAGTAGCAACAGACTCATAGCTGAATTTCCAGCAGCTTTTCAAAGGCTATACATTGCATAGGACATTACCATCCTTTTCCTGCAGCTTATGGATTCAAACTGCCTGCCTTTAGGTTGGTAGTGCAGCTTCTAGGTCACCAGAGCTCTATCAATCCATAATAGAAGATTTGAAATAATGACCATGTTTTTCACTTATAGGACACATAGAACTTATAAGGAAGGAGGTTATGTGGATTTTAATAACAAAATTACATACTGTGAAAATGTTTCTGTACGCATTCACGACCAATGTGATTAAGATTCAGAACACAGCTCAGTTTTGTAGAGGACCCTAGTGACCAGTTTGTTTTATATTGTTGTTAACGCTAAATATGGAGTTGGCTGGGTGGTGAAAACAAACAATTAAGCACTGGGATATTTAGCTGGAAGTTGGTAGTTTATCTCTCAAAGATACCTTGGAAGAAAGGCTTAACTGTCTATTTCTGAGAAGATCACAACAAATATGTGGAGTACTAAGAGTTAGAGACTAATAGCAACTGAATTTTTCTTTTTTTGTTTCAGTGGCTTAGAATAACAGCCATTTATTTACTCACAGTTTGACAAATGGGGCAGGACTCCGCTTACCTGTTCTTCTTCCTATCTTACCTGGAATCATTCATGTGGCTGCAGACCTCGAGTCTCAATTGGGAGTGATAGATTGTTTTCCCTCCCATTTCCTCACTATGTTTTATTGTGTCTTTTGGTAAAGATTACACAGCACTTTAGGTTCCCGTATAACGTTTTCTGTACATACATGTTGAGATCTGTTGCTCATAGGGTCACTGAGTCATAGTCGACTCAAGGGCACTTTACAGCATGTGTATTATTCAGTGACACTAGTTAGATTTTTCAGTTTGTCAGCATTCTTGTCAATTTTCTTCTTTCTATTAATCTAGCTTCCCTTCTCTTCCAGCAGCTAATTTGTTGGGTTTTAAATTTTTAAAAAAAATTTTTACTATAATTAAAAAATTTTGAAGTAGTTATAAAATTTGTTTTTGTGGTATTTCTGTGTTTCATACCACAAAAATTTAAGAAAATATTACTATATTTGTCCTGCTGTTCTGTTGTTGCTACTGCTTGCTTTCAAATCATTTCCAGTTTATATCAACTTTACAGAGCAAAGTAGAACTGCCTCTTAGGGTTTTCTATTCTGTAATCTTTACAGGAACAGATTGCAGGTCTTTTCTCTCACAGACTAACTCCTGGGCTCAAACTATTTGATTCACAGCCAAGTGTTTTGACCATTGTGTCACTCAGTCCCTTCCTATTTGGACTAGACATCTATGATTTGTCAATGGACAATTGTTAATATATTAAATATGATGATATCCTTGATTTCATTTTCCAGGATGAAAAATTTGTTTGACTAACAACTTTTAGTAGAATCCTGGAGCTGTTGATTGCTTTGTTATACACAGTTCGAGTCCAAAGACTGCATGTTGGCATTATTCAAGTCTTTATTTAAATTCTTCTAGTTTAGGAGTCAGCAAACTATGGTTGGTGGATAACATCCAGCCACTGCCTGTTTTTGTAAATACAATTTACTGGAACAAAACTGTTCATTTTGCATATTACCTGCAGTTGCTCTGGAGTTAAATGATTTTGACAAAGACAATACAGCTTCAAATCTGGCAAAGCTCTGACTCTTTACAAACATTTGCTGACCCCTTTTCTAGTCCAGTCACATTTCACTTTCTCTGTTTTTGGTAGTTTTTCAGTGTATTTATAGACTATAAGAGTTAATGTCATTTGGCTTACTTGACTTGTTGATTTGAAATTAATTTGATTTTGTCCCTAACTTACCTTAATGTGAAATTTCCTGAAAATTGATATATTTTTTTTCCTTCCTTACAGTTATGGCTGATTGTCCTCACACAATTGGTGTTGAATTTGGTACAAGAATAATTGAAGTTAGTGGCCAAAAGATTAAACTGCAGATTTGGGATACAGCAGGCCAGGAGCGGTTTAGGGCTGTTACACGAAGTTACTACAGAGGTGCTGCAGGAGCACTCATGGTCTATGATATCACTAGGTAAGAGACAGAATAATCTTCTGCTTCAAACTTACAAAAAGAAATCTTTGGGCAATAATGTGGTTTCTCCTTTATTGGTTCAGGCATTCTTTGGCTTATAAGACTGTGTATGAAATTATTTTAGTTTTACAGTTTCTTTTCTAAATTGCTAAATAAAGCTTATATATGAAATTATTTGTGTTTTATAATTTATTCTCTATATTGTTGTATAAAGCATAAAAGCTAAAGAAAACTTTATAAGATGGTGAGTAGGACAAATGGAAGAATACGGTAACAATTAAGATTGACAATTTATAGATGTGGAGGCCAAAAAGCAGAATTATATTGAATTTTGTTCTTTTCATATCCTTGAAGATGCATCATGGAACTGTTGCAGCCTAGAAGACACAAATTTAACAAGTTAAAAGTACATGAGTCAAAAATTAAAAGCAATAGTTTTCCAAGTAGAGGTTCTAACAGTGGCACAAATCAAGTTACAGAGGGAAGGTAGTTCTTAAAATAAAAGGCGTATTGACTAGCACTTTGTCTGTTATAGTATAAAGGTTAGGAACCACAAGATGTAGAGGCTCAACTATGTCATTTATTGTTCTTAAGTCCTGGATCAAATTCCATCTACCACTGGGTTGTTTTATTGCTCAGAAGTCCACATACAAGGCAGAGGTGAAGTAGGAAACTGCTTATGAGGTTTTCCGTCAATTCCAACATCTAAGAAATAGTGAGAAGAGTTGGGACCGCAGAAGGCTTTTAGGACTAAATAATAGGCTCTTGTGTCCAGGAGAAAATGAATATACTTACCAGTAATGTTAATGCTCACCCATGGCTCTTCTGGGAGGATCTGAATCGTTGAAGTGTCCTCCTTTGCTTTCAGCTGGGAGCTGGGGCCTTTCAGTCCTGTCAGCCAAAAGGACCTGATGTGGGCTACCCTTGGCCTTGTGTCCTTCAAATCCACACTTAAAGCAAGTGACTGGGAGCTTCCTCTCTACTCCCTTGCCTATCTGTGGCTCTCGTCTGTGACACTGTCTACTGAAGTGGCCCAGCTTTCCACAGTGGAAGCAATTCTCACCTCCTTAATTACCTTTGGGTGGCACTGTATATGAGTAAGACTTCCTTTTCCTGACACAGGCCCTAAACTGGCAGCAATAGCTGCCCCAATAATTTTGGCCATTCTCTGGTCTTTTCTCTTCCCTCTAGATCCCAGTTGTTAAAAGAGGGAAAAATTTAAGCAAATGTATAACAAATAATTTTGAACATTGTACTCTTTTAAGCTTAAGGCTAGAAGTATTAACAATATCATCATTTCCAATCCAGAGATACATGTTCCAATGCAGTACCTATTTTCCATAAATGGTTTTGGTAAGAGGAATGTTGTAAATGTGGATACATTTCCACTATTCCTCCTCCATGCCACGATATAGTGTTATTAGCTTGAGCAGTTATAAATAAATCCATTGCCATCCTTACTCTAACTTAATTCTTTTTTTTTTAAATTTAAATTTGTTATTAATTTCAGTGAAAATTTACAGAGGCTTTGGATTTCCATTCATTGTTGTAGATGGTAATTTAGTTTTATAAAATAATTTTAGTTGGAGTTAAAATAGAAAATTCTCGGTTTAGACTTATTCTCCATTTACTGTATTGCTTGTTTATTGATATGTTTATAAATGTGCATTTATTTCATATAGGTTATCCATGACATGTACAAGTTGTGAAGTTGTGATTGAATTACTTACTGGAAAAATATATATTTATCTAAAATTTTTATTAATAAGTATGTAATGGCATTTAACAACAGTTCTTTGAGTAACAATCTAGTCAAAGTAGAAATACTAACTTTTTTGGATCTCTTGCATAAAGTGTAAAAGAAAAAAATATATATAGGGAGAGAGAGAATTTATTGAAGTCACTTAAAATATATATATGTATGTATTTAAATGGCACTTACTTGAAACAACTGCTTTTAACTTTAATTTTTGCAGAAGAAGTACATATAACCATTTAAGCAGCTGGTTGACAGATGCAAGGAATCTCACCAATCCAAATACTGTAAGTTGATGACATTTGTATTATGTAAAATTTATAATCTTAAGTAATAAAGGAAAACTTTTGGTGATGGCATTTTTTGTGTTTGAATGTTAAGAATGAGAGAATTTTTATTCTTAAGATTAATTGAAGCAAACTGTATTTTTTGGTTTTTTTAGCTCTAGTTTCCCCAGTTTTAGTTTTTAAAAAACTTACTGGGTTGTTTTCATGTTTATGGTTAAAAAAAAAAGTTATACATGAACTGGCAGTCTCACATTAAGCAGAAACTGAAACCTGAAATTATAATTTTTTAAAAAGATATGTCACAAATGTTACCATTGGGGATAACTAGGCAACATATTTCTGAATTATATTTTTATAATTGCATGAGAATTTATAATAAACCTCAGTAAAAAAATTCCTTAATGGTGAGTCTGTGTTTACAAAAATTAGTTTCTGTATTAGTTTTTTCAGTGGTGATTTAAAGGAATGGAAAAACATCCACAGCTTTGGAGGTTAGAACTCAGGTTTTGGCAGAAACATGCTCCCTCTAATGGTTCTTATAGAAGACCTTTTGTTCTGTTTATAAGATTCTAGTCTTCCCCGGGCATTCTTTGAAATATGGAATACTTGAGTTTCTGCCTCCATATTCACATGGCTGTCTTCTCTTTTTTCTTTTTGTATTTTTTTTTTATTGAATTAGACAAGTGGTAAGACCACTTGTTAATGTATTACATCTGTAGAGACACAACTTCTAAATAAGTTTACATTCATAAGTACTAGGGATTGTTAACTGCTGTTGAATTGAGTGTGACTCATAGCGACCCTATCTTGTGTCAACTTCACAGTATCTGATACACTAGAGCCCATAGCTACAGTCACTATGTCAGTACACCTGACTAAGTCTTGCTCTCCTTCTCTATCTTTCCACATTTCCAAACATGATGTCCTTCCCCAAGGAATAACCTCTCCTAGCAACACACTCAAAGTGTGTGAGACAGAACTTTGCCTTCCTTGCCTCCAAGTAGCGCTCTGGCTTCACCTTCTCCAAGACATAACTGTTTTGTCAGTCTATGGGATATTCATTAGTCCTAAACTAACATCATTGTTGATAGAGGTTAGGTTTAAACATTGTTTCTGGAGAGTACTGTCCAACCATAATAGCATCTTAACCAGATTTAGGAGATACTGTGATCTTAAAGGACAGTTACCGTGGTACACTACAGTTTACAGACATGAATATGAGTTCTTGACCCTTAAGAACTGACAGTCTACCAGGGAGAGGACAAATAACTGGACTTCAAAATAGATTGAATTGAGTCAGAAATAGAATGACTATTGAAGCGCTTAAGGAGTCTTGGGAAAGCAGTACAAGTTGAGGAAAACAACTTTATAGATGAGGTGACATTTGAGTTGGGACTTGAGGTAAGTAAAGTTTTGGTAGGTGTTGTTGAGGGTATTTGAGGACCAGCATAAATAAAGGCACTGAGCTGTGACTGAATACTGCTCAGAAACAAAATTTATATCACACTTAACTCTTTGTACTTTCAGTACCTAATGGGAATCTGGTTCACTAAATAGCGTCAGTAGTGAGATTGGGTTTTGTCAGAGAATAGCAGTGGTAGTGTCCTGATTGACAACGATCTTTGGCAAGTCTCCCTTTTTTGCACTTTATTTCTTCATATGTTTTTGTTGTTATGTGCTGTCGAGTCACTTGCGACTCATAGCGACCCTATGTACAACAGCCCTAAACTCCGCTCTGTCCTGTGCCAGTCGCACTGTCTTTGACACTCCCATCCCAATTATCCCAGTCACTGAATCAATCCACCTCATAGAGGGCCTTCCCCTGCGCTGTCCCTCCACCCTCCCAGGCATGATGTACCTCTCCAAGGACCAGTCTCTCCTCACAACATGTCCAAAGTATGTTAGATGGAGCCTCAGAATCCTTGCCTCCAAGGAGCCACCCGGTTTAACCCTTTCCAGGACAAATCTGTTTGTTTTCCTAGCAGTCCTTGGTATTCTCAATACTCTTCTCCAGCACCACAGCTCAAAGGCATCAATTCTCCTTCTATCCTCCTTGGTCATTGTCCAACTCTCTGATGCATAACAAGTGATTGCGAAGACCATGGCCTGTATCAGACGCACCTTAGTCTCCAGAGAGACACCATTGCTCTTCAGTACTTTGGAGAGGTCCCTAACAGCTGACTTTCCCATGGCAATGCACCTTTTAATTTCCTGGCTGCTGGTGCCAAGACTGTTGACTGTGGAGCCAAGCAAACTAAAGCTGTATACAATCTCAATCTCTTCACCATCCATCCTGATGCTGCCAGTTGGTCCGGTGGTGAGAATCTTTGTCTTGACATATGTAGCCTTTCCTTTCATAGCCTGAAGGAGTTGAACCTAGTGGCCTTTACTTTTTTTCTTTAAGTGTCCTAGAACCTTTTGAAAGTTTGGTTAAGATGGCACAGACTTTGTCCTCAAAGGCATGCCCATGTACACACCATTCTTCCTTTTTAAATTTATTTTAATGAAAGTTTACAGAGACTTTGGATTTCCATTCATTCCTTGTTGCACTTTTCTCCCTGCTCACCCTTCCCCCAGTTTGCTTTTCTCTTTGAAAAGTTAAAAAAATTCTTTCATTGTTATATAATCCCCTACTCCTATCCCCCCTGTCCACTCCACTGTGCAGTTTTCATTGTGGACTCTTGTCATGACAATAGTACCTAATCATGTATTGCTCCTAAACAGTTCTCTCCCTCGTCTGTTTCAATGCAGTATACATTATTTACTCCCTCTTTTCTTAGTATCCCACCAACCCTGATATTAGTCCCGCACAGCATTTTTCATTTCATTTCAGGATATTGTTCATGGATGCTTAGTAGTTTTATTCAAAGAAATAATTATTTAAATTATTCAAATAAATAAATTTTAGCCTAGGCCATGGATTGCCAGACTGCCATTTTCCACCTTGCCTCCTTTGTTTCCAGTCCCTCCATTTTCTTTGCCTTATCTTGCAATCTTATCTTTGCTTTTAGGTAGATACTGCCTTTTTAGTATTGTGAGTTGATTGTTCTTAGGCACATTCCACTGGAGTATTCGTTTTTATTTCATAGCCCATCTATTTGTCTGAAAGGTGATCATTGGGAGTTCCAGGTTAAAAGATTGTCCTAGGGAATACCTTCAGTATTTTCATCAGTCCAGTAAATTTGATTGCCTTTATCATTGTGAGCATTGTTTTTTTTTAAGTTTAGTTTTTTCCTATTTTAAGTCACACCTTTTGTGCCTGGTCAGAGGGGCTGGTACTGGTAATTGTGTACTGTTGTTCTGGATTCAGGCCTAGAGTCTTTGTGTAGACCATTAAGTCCTCTGCTTCCGTGAATCTGGTTTCCTTCACTCTTTTTTTGTTCCAGACAGACAGAAACTAATATTTTTCTTCTTAGATGATTGATTCACAAGCTTTTAAGACCCCAAACAGTACTCAACAACCAGGATATAGAACATTATCTTGTTAAACTGTTATGTGCCAGTTGACTTAGATTTCCCTAAAGACTGGTCTTTAGCTTTTGTACCTATTGTTTGAGCTCCCTGATGTGGTTGGATGTCTAAGAAGTTTACATAACTGTGTGTGCCTCCTCATGCTCCCCTTCTTCTCTTTATATATGAATACATGCAGTACATAAAAATATGTATGTTTGGATGCCCACGGCTCAATGCTTACTGCTGTGATTCCTGTTCCAATCTCTAGTGAACCTACATTGATTTTTCCAAGGCTGTAAATTGCAGTGGGAGAATACTGGCCATTTTTCTCCCACAGAACAGCTGGTGGATTTGAACTGTTAGAGACTTTAACAGCATTTGGATTAGCAAACTCGCTACAGACTGTGCCACCAGTTTTCCCACAGATGCCCATAACTACTTGTGTGTGTACACGCATGCTCCTCCATATGTTCTCCTTAACTTACCTGGCATACATATAATCATGCATAAATTTTTGGTTGTAATTACTGTTGCAACGTTGTGTATGTTGTGGCATTTACTGCAGTTGCCCTTTATTTTTGCATACCTGTTAGTGTTGTTGACCTTGATCACATTGTGCTAACCTCCCCCATATTGTGTCCTCTTTCCTTTCATCAGAGTGAACATGTGTCTGTTAACTAGTGATTCTTCTCCCCTACATACCTAGTTGCCACCAAAGAATGTAGCTTCTGTGTATTTTTGTCCTTTTGTGATTGACTTAAATTCACTCCAAATTTATCTTATGTTTCACTGACTTAGACTGTTATTCATTATTGCCTAGTATTCCATTGTATACATTTTGTTTATTTATCTGTGGATGAGTACTTAGGTTATTCCTATATCCTTTTTGTTTCTATGAATATTGATGCAGCCAACCTGGATGTATGTCTCTGTCACTTTTTCTCTTGGATATAGTGCTAGATAATAATCATATTTCTACTTTTAGCTTTTATGGCAGAAGCTTAGATGGTCTTAACAAGTAAGGAGCTCCTTGCCAACCCTAAAGCAGGCAGTTGGAATACATCTGCTCTAAGGGAGAAAGATGGAACTTCCTCTTGTGTAATTTACAGCTTCTGAAAACTTGCTGGAGGGTTAGCTACAAGTCACTTCTAACTAACTGGCACAAAAGAGCAGCTTTTATGGAATTTGGATTGTCTGTGTTGTCTGGTTGCACTGCTAACCAAAATGCTGCATGTCTCCAGTGGTTCAAATTCAGGAGAAGCTCCAATTGAAAAAGATGAGACGTTGTCTGGTTAGGATTTACAGCCTTGGAGACTTGATGGAGATTTCTGTGGTTCAGAATCAACTTGATTGGGATGAGTTGAGTCGTCGAGCTTTTTGAAAGGCACCATATTGTCTTCCATAGTGATTGTATGATTTTACAGCTTCACCAAGAGCAGCATATGAGTTCCAGTCTTCCCACAACCTCATCAGCTTTTATTGTTTTCAGGGCATTTTTTTTTTTCATTTTGATCATTATTATTTATGGGATCAGATCAGATCTCATTATAGATTTACAGCTAATGGCTAATGCTCATGGACTTCTCATGTGTTTATTAACTTTATCTTTGGTAATGTATCTGCTCATGTTCTTACTCATTTTTTATTGGCAATTCATTCTTTTTGTTATTTAGCTATAACGTGACCTCTGTTAGTTTCAGTTCAAGGTTTGAAGAGTACCTTAGGGCATTGATCATCTTGGGGAGTTAAGTCTGGGATTTTCTTGTGTGTTTGCTTTTGAATTTCCACATCAGGATCCATAATATGTTTTGGTCCTGATTAGACTAGTCGGTAGTGCCTGGTCTTTAAGGTAGTGAGGCTGTGGTTTTTGTAAGCTAGCTGCCTCTTTGAGTCTTTGGTTTCTTCCTTTCTCTCTTAACTCTGGCTGAATAAAGGCCAGTGTTCATATCGTAGATGACTGATGGCAAGGTTTTGAGACTCTGCACACTGGGATGTAGAACAACATAACTTTGTGAAATATGACAGTTGTATGGAATGTTCCAAGAGACTCTGAGTTTTCTTGAGTTTTTGAAATCTAATCCCAAGAGGAGGAAGTGGTGTCTGTAACTGCCTCCTGTGGGTTGTTGGTTATTTTTTTAATAAGAACGTATATTGTAATAAGGCACACATACACACACACACACACACACACACACACACACACGCCAGTGCTCAGGCCGTTCATTCATAGGGTCGCTATGAGTCGTCTACGACTCGATGACACCAAACAACAACACAACAATATATATATCCAAGAGTGGCATCCACTTCCTAAACAACATGCCTTTGGAAAGTGTGAACTTTGATAAATGACGATAATTATAGAAAGACTTGAGGCTTTTTGTTCATAGGGTCGCTATGAGTTGTGCTCAACTTGACAGCAGTCAACAACAACATATGCATATAGTCACATAGATGTGTGTACATAGTATACACTTGACCTGTACACATATGTGTTTATATACGTAAATAATATAACCACACGTGCTTCTTTGGTTGTTTTTTGCTGTTGTTACCATTAAGTCCTCCTTTATTGTTTACTCTTTAGTGACTTTATCTTCTCAAGCTATGTACACTTCACTTTCATATGATATTACCACTTGGTTTCCTTTTTAGGTTTATATATTTTTTCCAATGATCATTTTTAGATTAAAGAATATGCATAGTTATTTTACAGGATTGCTTTTAAGACTTTTTTTTGTCACAAAATAGGTAATAATTCTCATAGGAAATAAAGCAGACTTGGAGGCACAGAGAGATGTTACATATGAAGAAGCCAAACAGTTTGCAGAAGAAAATGGTAGGTTTCTTTTAAGATGTGAATTTCTAAAGAAAGGTGGGATTAGGATATTGCAGATTGGCTCTTTTTAAAAAATGCATATTGCACAGAAATCTCAAGAATAAGGAAATTAACAGAATTTACAGTATTTCTAGTTGAGCTTCCTATGAGGAGCTACAAGTATTTAATGAGAAATATAGATTCCCTCCATCTCAAACTCACATACTCATTAAATACCATAATAGGTGTACCAGAAGCTGATGAGAAACTTTTATTGAGATGTCTGATGTAAAGCATTTATTGAGATGTTACTGAAGAGAATGTCCTTGTTAGGTAACTTGAAATGTTCTAATCACAATGTAAATTTTATTTTTAGGTTTATTATTCCTTGAAGCAAGTGCAAAAACGTAAGTTTGGCTAAGATGTAGATTGTTTTAGTAAGATAGTGAAGTTTCTTAAATAAAAGAGAACCTTTCATATGAAAAAGTTTTTTCAAAGTCTTGTAAAAAACTCCCTAGAATAAGCAATTTCTGTTTTAAATGTGTTGTGCTCATGTGGAGACTAGTAAGTAGACATTGCATGTCTTCCTATCTCAAATTTCAAAGTAGCAGTTTTCATTATATAAGTTTGTACCTTGATTTTATACTCACTGATGACCCAGGTTAATAAAATAAAACATTGTTTGCATTTCATTAGTGTTTGACTTTCACAACTGAGGTTGAACTTATTTGGTGTCTCAGACCCAAGCTTAGTTGTTTATATGATACTTCTGATTTTAACTTAATACTCCAAGTTTTAAGAATAATCAGAAGTATAACATTTTCCAGTTGCTTTCTTATATCCATGTTAATGCCTAGGATTCTTACCATTGTTATTCATTCCTTAACTAAGCCAAAAATTTCTTGCAATTGGTGAGGAGAGGCTAATCCCTTATTATTTAGCCCTGTGTTGTTCTAAAGGAACTGAAATGTGAACATGACTAAGCTTGGATATAATATAGCATCACTGTGTGATTAAAAGTGGTTTTGTTCATGTGTGGCTAAGCAGACCATATAAATTACGGAATCATGTTCTGTATTATTTGGAGAGCTTCAATTTGAAGTACTCTGTGATCACAAGTGGCCTATCTTGTTGGTCATGTTCTACCTTACTTGATAGCATTTTAATAATTAGAACATGTTCTGTTATCTAATAAGGGTTTATAGTTGCAGCCATTGGTGTCATTTATATATGCTTTCCACAGAAAATATTTTCCCATTTGTTCTCTTAGTCTTCTGGTAATCTCTTATTAGATGACAGTGGCTAAATTGAAGACATCATGACAGTTGACTAAAGGTTAGCAAAAGGTCAGTGTATAATGTCTTACCTTTTGTAGAAAGTTGTGGTTCTTGATTAAAGTTGTTAATTGCCTCTTAGGGGAGAGAACGTAGAAGATGCGTTTCTCGAGGCTGCCAAGAAAATCTATCAGAATATTCAGGATGGAAGCCTGGATCTGAATGCTGCTGAGTCTGGTGTACAACACAAACCCTCAGCCCCACAAGGAGGCCGGCTAACCAGTGAACCCCAGCCCCAGAGAGAAGGCTGTGGCTGCTAGTGACCTCTTTGTCATGGCCCCTCATTTGACCTTTCACCTATGTCTGTTGGAAGCAGTACTTTTTACTGCCTCATTGTCTTCTGTACATCTTACTGGGTTTAATTAAAAAAAACAAAACAAAAAAAAAACTCTTGTAAAAACAGTTTAACACAAATACTAAACTGCTCAACAACTAGATGTAATCAGGTTATCAAAGGCAAGTAGAGTTAAAAATCTCTCCTGCATGGTAAATCTAGACTTTTTCCCCCCAATTGTCCTTGTGATAGGTATGTCACCAATACATGATTTAAACTGAGCACTGATGCTGGACTTCATGATTTTTACCAACACCCTCCCCCACCAACAAGGCTTTGTCTCATTGTACGGTTTATTTTCCTAGGCCTTTCTCCTCGTTTTTAACTGTTTAAGTATGTCTGTCGTAATCAATAGGTTTATTGCTGTGAACTGACTTTTGATGGTAGAGAAGGGGCTCTGTACCGCTTTATTTTGTTATCTGTTGGACAAATTCCCTGTTGTGTGGGTGGCATTTTTCTTGAGGTTTGCTTGTCTTAGCTTTGTATAGGGAAAATATCCATTTATTTTTTCTCTTGTGCTTAATTAATAGCTTTTTTTACATCATTTTATCCTTTTTCTTTAACAGAAAGTAAATATGTATAAAATTTGAAGGAACTAACAATACATTCTGTGTATATTATTTTAATGAAGAAAATAAATTGATTACTGGCATTGGAACAGTATAAAGTACCAGTTTGTACAGTATGACCTGTATGTGACCATGTTACTCCCTTCCATTTCCCAAAAGGAGAAAGACAACAACTGCAGTTCACAGTACTGGCTCCACTTCTTGGTGCTGGCAGTGTTTGGGGACATTATGCCAGAAGTGAGAGAGATTATGCTCCTAGAATGAGAGGATTAACACTAGCAGATTCTGTTCCATCTTTGCACTGTGGCTTACCTGCTGACTTTTCTTAATTGTTCTTGTGCAATTGACAATGTGCTAACCTGCTTTTCTCTTTTTTGAAACATTTTGCATTATAGGCTACATTTCTTGCCTTACTGTATAGAAAAAGAAAGGCTGGGTTTATTATTGCACATTTTAAGCTTTTATACATTTATCTTTTTGGAATGGTCAGATTCTTATCCTGACAGCCAGAACCACAGGTCTGCTGTTAAGGGATTTTAAATTGTGTATTTTTTACACTTCAGTAAAATTATTTCTTGAATTCATAGTATGAAGGGACTATTTTAGGTCATTTAGTATAAATTGTTTTGTGAAAGGGAACATTTCTAAAGGTGGTGTTTGTGCTTAAATGCAGTTACTTTGTGTTAGGTGGTTTGGTCATGGAAAGAATACTTATTTTAAAAGAAAAATTTTTTTAGACGACAAACAGTCTTTTACAAGATTTTTTTAAACTGCTATTTACTGTTGAGTTTATGGTTCAAAGGTTGGGAATTAAGATGTTATTTGAAATAGGTAAACCTCAGCACATTATAAAATGCACTCAGCCCATCTGCTGTGTTTAAAATACACATTTGAAAAAAAAAAAACACATTTGAATCCCTTTTTATGGACACTAAAGTAAAAAGTACATCTTTCTGGGCTGTAAACACGTGGTAGTACCAGAATATTGTATAGTCAATGTGAAATAAAAGCCAAAACTGGAATGTGCAGAAAATAATCCCGTTAATTTGTGAGTTCATCTTTATTTTGTCTTTAAGCTTTTGTAAAAAACAAGAATCCTGGAGAACATTGGTATAGTCTGTTAAAGACTTAACGTGATCCATTTTGCTTTCACTGTCGCATCACAAGGAACTGTCCAGGGACCATGACCTGCTGGTATGTGTATATATTTACAAAACAAAACAAACAAACCACCCATTGGGATATAGGGTAGCAATCAGAAATGAAAGATTGCAGCTTATTTAGGTGCAATATCCTGATTTCCCAAAGTTAGTTATAGTGGGTCATAATGTTTTTGTGACAGAAGGATTTATTCAGACTGCTGTATTCTTCATTTAATGTAACAAAATGCTATTAATCTAAATATTTGTAAATAAAGTACCTGTATCTAGATTAAATTAAAATTGGTTGCATTATTTTCTGAACTACAGTAGAATTTATTTATATCTCAGAATTGTCCTTATTGTATAAAAAAGACATACGTAGCCTGTAAAACCACATGATCCATAAAATTTTATCCTTGTATCTGAGTCATGTAATAGATTTCCAGTCAGACTTTTTTTTTCCAGTGAGATCTGCACATTTGGTGGCCGATAAGTGTTTTCCCTTGACTGTTCTTGGAGTCAAATTCTGTAATCAACTTAGGTGCTGAAACATAGAGGAGCAAACTGTCATACTGTAATATCCACGTGCCAGCCTGGCATGGGGAAGTACACTTCGGAGAGAATGTAAAGAAAGGTCTCTTATTTTTAACCCATGCCAGCAAATTGCTTGTCAGAATCGCCTGCTTCTCTAGGTTCCTTATGGCCTTGCTTCTTTAGGAGGACATTTGGATTAGCAGTTGGTGCTCTGTACTGTTTATACATTAGATGACATTCTAGGATGGTATTCACATATTCCTCATGGACAATAAAAGGTTTGATGCTGTATCCTTAGATTCTTTTTTTTCCTTAGTTGTTTTTTTTTTTTTTAATTTCTGTTCACGTACTACTGGTTAGGGGTAGTAAAGGTTTTGGAAAGGGTCTTTTGAAACTAGGTGTGCAGCTTCAGCTGTTAACCACATCTCTAGATAGGCAAGCCCATAGTTTTAGATTAGATAAGTTCTGTTTATATGCCTGTAGTGTTCAGTGTGATTTTTTTTTTAAAAAAAGAAAGATGAAATGATTGTTTTCTATTCTGTTCATATAGCAGGATATGAGAAAGAGCCGGGTTCACAAAACCAACCTTGATATAAATAATTGTGAATAGGTCATGTTTTGTATTAAGTGTTGAGAGATTACACTTCTGTGCTGTTCTGTATTGTAGCAATTCATTAACCTGTATTGGCTATAAAAGGTGGCTCAGGAGTTCTTGGGAATATCTTAATATCTAATCTTCTATGTATAGTTTTCATACTCTACTCTTGGAAATGACTGTTGTGTACAAATGTGATAGTAGTTGTTACCCTTATTTTTAAGACAAATTATAACATTAAACTCCTAATTATAGTAGTTTAAATTTTTTTAAGTCTACACAATTTGACTTTACTACACAGATCCTAGTTTTCCACCAAGAAATTTAATACTTCTTAGCTAATAAAAAGTACCTGTATTGCCAAATAAACCATGTTCATAATATATCACCCTTCAGACAGAACATGGAAAATCCTTGGAAAACTGTCAATTCAGGTAAACATTTTAAAAGTCATTATAATACATTGATCTGTGAAATACAAAGTCAGATGACAGACCCAAGATGGTTTTTGCTTTTTATTTTCATATGAAAATAAGATTTTAAACAAAATCAAAAAATAACTCTTGATACTATATAAAAGGTTTAAATTAAGTACATATTCTTAATAATTTTTTCAAGTTTAGAGAGTCAAACCTTAAAGCAGTAGTTTGTTTATAAATAAAAACACATTCCAAACAAAACCTCAGTCACCCAGAACCCTGGTTTAAGTTGTAAACACTTATCTCCATATGTACAAGTGATTTACAAAAACCTTGGTGCTAATGGTATACGTAAACTACAGTGGAGTTTCAGTATATGAATTCACTGGATCTTGCTAGGAAAAGTTGTATACCAACTATGAAGTTCATGAGGTAGTGGAGAAGGTATTTATTTCGTCATATTCATGCGACAGTATTCCACGTCTGACTGAGCCAGTCTTTTCCTAAAAAGGTAGAAAGGAAGAATTAAAGATTTAAAGCAGTGAAAACAAGTTTTAAATGAACCAGGAACCTTGATAGCTAATAACTAAAAGACATATTTGAGCATCCCTTTGGAAAAATGTTTTCATTTTAAATAAATAAAATAATTTTATTTATTTAAAATAAATTTTAAATAAATAAAACTGATGGCTAGTAAGTAAAATACCTACTTGAGAGTTTTGGAAGACTTGATGAATTACTACAAAATGATCTTTGGGAAAAATTTAAGCTCTTTTTCTGAGACCATTGTCCCAAGATAGGTCCAACTGAAAGTGCTAGTTTAAAGATCCCTTTGCAGCATGTACCTTGTGAGCAGGAAGGTGAGAATGGCATCAGTGTAAATAAGTAACAGGTGATTCTGATGAAGCTGGTAGAACCTGGTGAAAGGGGCTCTGAAAAGGAGGGTAAAATGTTAGTCCAAAAAACTGGCACTCTTAACTCCAGCTTAGTTCAGGCTTTTAGCTAACTGGTTTCTGAAACCGTTCTTTCCACCTTTTCCCTGTTGTGCCTCTGACCACCCCCAAACCCCCGCCCCATCATCTCTTTGCCCTTAGAGCACCTGAGCTTTTACTCTACCATCCTGAGTTGACTCCTGAGCTTCAAGCCCACTGTGCATTCTTTCCACTCCTCTGAGCTATCTTACTCTCCCAAACCCACAAATTATTGTCTAGTGCCTCTTAGTACTCTCTTAAACCTTGCCAAACAGAATTACTTATACTTCGATTTCCTTTTTTTAAAAAAAAAAAAAAAATTTAATCACATTTTTAAAAAAATTTTTTTTGAAATGGTAAGATGCAGTTAATGAGTGGGAACATAATATGTTGCAAAAGTTACTGGTCGGTGAAATGAGGCTCATTTTTTCAGATTTATTTATACAAGCCATCACAAGATGGCAGCACACTAATTAAGTTCCCAGTGAACTTCAGATGGAAAATGTCCATAGGCATTGTATATTCGATGAATTATGAAATGGTCAAGGCCTGTCATGAGCCCCATGACAGTTTTGGCTTTTAAAGTTAGGGATCCATATTCAAATCTTGGCTCTGCTGCTAATAAGCTCTTTGACTTTGGTTGCTTACCCTCTTTATTCATATTTAAAGAAGTGGTTGTCTTGGAATATTTTTTGTGGCTTAATCATGATAATGTTGCTATATGGACAAAGCCAGAGCACGAGAGGCCTTAGCCTGTTGTGCTGCCAACCCAAAAGAGGTACTTCTGGTGGCTGGAAATCCACCCCTATCTCTGAGAGAAAGATGGGCATTCTCTTGTGTGATTTATATTCTCTGGAAGGTCAGCTATGAGTCCATTCTGACTCAACAGCAATGAATTGAGTTGATAGAGCAGAAAACACAGATTGTTTATATAGTCATTCATATATATTGTATACGATCATTGCTGTACACTGTTGTATATTATTACTGATCTATGACTTATATCACTCCGTGTCATCAAGAACCCACTGCAACTTGCCTAGTCTACATTCCTTCTTCCCTTCTCGAGCAGTTAAGTATCACATTCTTGTGTTGTTTCTTATAGTTCTTAGGCTAAGAGGAATTAACAGCAAGCACAATCATCTTCCTCAAAATCTTGACTAAACTAGGAATCAAATTGGTTTCACAGGTGTAGGCTCATTATATTGGTCAAGTAGAAAATAAGGAAATCTGAAAGTGGAGAACCATAATAAGACTTCACTAGATCCCTGCCATCAATCCAATCTCCAGTTCTGAGTCTAGTTCCCAAGCTTATCCTGTTGTTTGGTGCTGTCTTGCTGCTTATGGCTCAGTGACAATAAAAAGAACAACACTGCTCAGTTGTGCGCCAAATACATCTCATTAAGGGTCTTTTTTTTAATAATTTTAATGAACATTTTCAGAGAATTTGGATTTCCATTCATTCATTGCTGCACTTCTCTACCGCCCAGCCCTCTCCCCCCGCCCCCCAGTTCGCTCCTGTCTTTCAAAGTAAAAGACTCCCTCCCTGGTACACAATCCCCCCCCCCGGCGCACCCCTCCCACCGCCCCAAGTACATTCCACTATGCACCCTTAATTGTGGACTCTTGTGATAACCATAATACCCTATCATACAACGCTTTTAAATTATTCAGTCCCTCATTAAGGGTCTTTTTTTTTACTGCTCCAAGCTATGGTCTTTTCAATCACCTGCTTATGCATCAGAGGGCTGGACAGTGAATAAGGATGATGAATGACTAATGTCTTTGAGTTGTGGTGTTGGAGAGCAGTGCTCAGTGTTCCATGGATTGCCAAACAAACAGATAATGACTTGGGAAAAGTGCAGCCAGAGTGCAAGGATGGTGAAGCTTCATCTTAAATACTTTGGGCATGTTGTTAGGAGAAACTATTCCTTGGAAACGGACATCATACTTGGAAAGTATGACCCTCAACCAGAGAGACGTGACATAGTAGCTATAGCAAAGGAATTAGTATATCAAGGATTGTAAAGATAGGACATGGTGTAGATCTGTTGTTCATAAGGTTGCTATGAGTCGTCAACTTGACGGCTCTTCATCACTACCACCAAGCATGATGTCCTCTGGCGAATGGTCCTTCCTGATAACGGGTCCAAAGTATGTGAGATAGTATGTGCATATTCAATAAAATGGGTAAATGTATTTCTCATTTTCTCTGCATTCAGGTAAAAATTGAAGTCCGTAATACGCATTCCTTCCTTTTCTGAATCTAGATTGAATGTTTGGCAGTACTCTCTCAGTGTACAGCTCCAACCATTTTAAAATTACCTCAGGATTTTGTATGTGATATCAAGTTAATTTCTGTGTTCTGTTGGATCCCTTTCTCTCGAATGGACACAATATGGATCTCTTCCAGTGGACTGACAAGTTGTTTTCCTTCCCCATTTCTTGGCATAGAAGAGTGAGCACCTACCTTCAGCACTGCGTCATCAACTCCTAGAGCCTTGTGTTTCACCCCTGTCCATGCAGCTTGGACTTCTTCAGTACCAGTGGATCTTAACCGTATCTGTTGTTGTTACATGCTGTTGAGTCGCCCGTGACTCATAGCGACCCTATGTACAACAGCCCTAACCCCTGCCCTATCCTATGTCAATCTCACTGTCGCTGACATACCTATCCCATTACCCAAGTCACTGAACCCACCCTCCCAAGCATGACGTCCCTCTCCAAGGACTGGTCCCTCCTTGCAACATGTCCAAAGCATGTCAGACGAAGCTTCAGAATCCTTGACTCCAAGGAGCAGCCTGGTTTAACCCTCACCAGGATGAACCCGTTCATTTTCTTAGCAGTCCATGGTACATTCAATACTCCAGCACCACAGCTCAAAGGCATCAATTCTCCTATCCTCCCTAGTAATTGTCCAGCTCTCTGATGCATAGCAAGTGAATGCAAAGACCATGGCATGTATCAGGCACACCTTAGTCCCCAGACTGACATTGTTGCTCTTCAGGACTTTAGAGAGGTCTCTAACTACAGACTTTCCCATTGCAATATGTCTTTTCATTTCCTGGCTTCTGGTGCCAAGACTGTTGACTGTGGAGCCAAGCAAACTAAAGCTGTTAACAATCACAGTCTCTCCACCATCCATCATGATGCTGCCAATCGGCTCAATGGTATATACTAACTCCTAAAATAGTGAACACTGACCACTTTTTGGTGGGGCCTCAAAAAACCCACCTAAGTCTCTAAGACCAATTTTCCAGATTTGAACATAGCATTTATGTCCAGGATTCCTTTCAAAAACAAACCACAGTGCTTTCAACTGCTTTCCGTGTAATATCAGAACCCTTGTTAAGAGGTTTCTCTTACCTGGTTTTGTCCAAGGTCCTCAGCAAGGGAAGATTCTACCAGAGACAGAGTGGATGATAAGGAAGTGGAATCTACAGAAGTGCTGGTGACCAGCTCGCCTAAAGCATCAACTTGCCGCCTCAAACTGTGTAAAGTGCCTTCTGTCTGCCGCTTCCCTTTAATTAATACTTCTGCTTGTTTGGACATACAGTGCCGAAGTTGAGCCTGAAAAATATTACAAGATTGAGGATTTTACATAAAAGAAATACAGCAGAAGTAATGGTCCTCTTTCTCACTGCTAACATTTGAAATAATTAAGAATTTAAGAAATTTCTTATTATCTGTAATGTACCAAGTATGCCGGACTGTAATTTATAAAAGACAACCTTGAGTCTATCTTCACGGTGACGCAACTTCTCTCGGAGGGCTTCCCCACGCCACTGTTCATCCTTTCTCAGAAGGAAAACAAACATGAATGAGTCTAGCAGTAACCACTAGTCTTCCCCTCCTCCTATTCCACCATTCTCAAATTTGGGTTTGTGTTGTTTTCTTTTTTTTTCTTTTTTTTTTGTTTTTTAAAAACAGATCTGGAGGGAAGGTATGGGCCAATTTTTCAAAACCCAGTACGATTATTCTGTATAGTCCAAAGAATAGTAAGATAAACCATTACCATTATGTGAACTTGGGAAAAGTTCCGTTTTTCTTCAGAAGGTCTTTCATTAATGGTAAATGGAAAGTTCTCTTTCAAGCTTTCCAACTCTCTTAAGTTTTCATTTCTTTCAAAAATAGCCTCAAGTTCTGCTGGTAGTTCTGGAAGACACTGGTTGAGATTCTTAAGGCTGGTTCTGATTTCATCTTTCACCTCAGATTTAAGATTTCTCATTGCCTCACTGATTTCCATTTGTCTTCTCTCCAGATCTTTTTGGCTTGCCATCTTAAAGAGTGAGGACAATAAACTAGTAAGTTCACCAGGTGAAGTTAGGTACTTTTTTTTATTTTTATTTTTTATTTTTGTGTGAGTGTACTGTCAAATCAGATCTGACTGGTACAGGAAGAGATTGTCCGTCCTTCCCCGGCAGAGCATCTGGTGGATTCAAACCGTGCGCCTCTGGGATTGTAGTTGCAGCTCCTTGCAACTAGGCCACCAGAGCTCCCCTAAATGAGCTGTTTTATGTGTCATATCTAACTACAAATGTAAAATGCTTTTAATTTAGGTGTGTGTAAAAAGTTGAAATTGTTAAAAAATTCCGGTATCTTTAAGCTGCAAGGTAAATAATTTTACTGGTATTTGATAAGTAACTTCAGTTTAGGAAACTAAACTGTATTTCTTGAAGAAGAATTACTCTAGAATTCAATCTTTTTGAAGTTAGAAATGGATTCCAATTTCATTTCCAGTAAACATGTCCAGTAAGACTTAGGGCAAGTTAACTATCTTTGCAATTGTTCATGTGTACAGAGAGATAATAACTTCCTCCCAGACATGCAGGAACTAAATGGAGATTCATATGAAGTACTTAATGGAACCCAATAAATGACAACTACAGCAATTAAATTTCCACAGGGCCATTTACTGAAAAGGGCCACTTATGGAAACAAGTCCTAAGTGATCGAGATTATAAATGTTAATGCAGATTGAGTCCTTGGAAACGATCTGGTCAAATGCTTTTATAGGCGAAGAATCTGGAGCTTTGCCGCAGTCTAGATGTTTCCTAAAGGCTTTCCATAAAGAGCTCAGCCAAAAACATTAGACTCATACCTACTGCTATGACCCTACAAAAGTGTACAGAGATGTCTAGAGCCACTAAAGACTGAGACCCTCTAAATGAAATGTTTGCTTTTACTTGAACCAATATATGTGTTTGTGATAGGAGAGACACAAATAACGTGGAACACCAAATGGACAGTCCCAAGGACAAAGAGCAGCAGGCCCACAGCAGCCCAGCTGTGAAGAGCTCAGGGTTGGCCTAGAGGTCACTGGCTAAGAGGACAACAGAGCATCACCACGATTAAAGATTCTATCAGTTTGCTGGCTTCCTATCTGGTCACATTATGCATTATCAGAAGTTTCCCCCTGGACTAAGTTTTCTTGCCTGGGCACCTGGGTCTTGAATCTGGCATAAAACCAACGTTTCAACATAAGCTGCTTTTAGATTTGATAAAATTTTGTATTTAAGAATTATCTTCTTGGGGGGAAAAACCCTCAACATAATAAGCTTGTTGAAATTAAGAGAATATTTTTTAAATTTTTTTAATTTATTTTGTTATCTTTGTGTGTGTACCATCAAATCAGATCTGACTGGTACTGGAGGAGATTGAACCTCCTTCTCCAGCAGAGCATCTGATGGATTTGAACCATGAACTTCTGGGATTGCAGTGCAGCTTCCTGACACTAGGCCACCAGAGCTCCTTTGAAATGAAGAGGATTTTTAACAGTATATTTTGAACACCATATTCCATGGTGAAAGACTGAAAACTCTGCCTTAAGAAACAAGACAAAGGATGCTCACTTTTAGCACTGCTGTGACAGGATTGCTGTGAGTCATAGTCGACTCAGTGGCACCAAGTAACAACAGTTAGTATTATCCTGGAGGTTCTAGCCAGAGCATTTAGGCAAGAAAAAGAAAGGTATCCAAATCACAAAACTCTCCATTTGCAGCTGACTTGACTTTATATGTAGAAAAGCCCAAAGACTATACAAGAAAGCTATTAGACTTAATGAATTCAGCAAAGTGGTAGGGTACAAGATCAACACAAAAATTAGTTGAGTTTCTATATACCAGTAATGAACAATCTGTAAAGGGAATGAAGAAAGTGAATATATTTACATTAGCACTAAAGTAATAGCATACTTAGGAATAAATTTAAACTGAAAGGAGCCAAAGTATCTCATGGACAGGAATGAAGGCTTACTATTATTAAAGGTTACCAGGGGTCAAGTGTCAAGATATTGTACTAAGAGTAATGGCACCAAAAGCACAAACAACAAAATAAAAACTGAACCATTTTCTTCACAAGTACAATCCATGTAAGTAACATGTCCACACATACAATAAAAAGAAATTGGTATATTGCACTTATGAACAGAATGTGCAAGAAGTTGTACATGGGGGGGGGGGAGAGACCATTAAAGCATGTTGTCATCTGAGTAAAAGTATGATAGTGAATTCAGTCTTTGACAAAATTTCTGTGTTTCAAAGGGTACTATTAAAGTGAAGTGATAACAGTACTGTGAAAGAAAATACAAATCATGTATCTGTAAGGGTTTAATGTCCAGGATATATTAAAAACAAGAGAGCGATACAATCCAGTTGAAAAGCAGACAAAAAGAAATTTACAAAATCAGACTTAGTTCATGGGGCTAATGACGTTCAATGTCCCAAGAAGCACCCAGAAGAACTAGTTACCATTACTGACTGACTGCTCTGAGACACAATCGAAGGCTTTTTATAGAGTGAGAGAGAAATGTGGGACAAACTTCAAAACCATAAAAAGTACCATGTTTACTGGTTTAATAAAGACTGATGGAACCCCCTAGACTTTAACCCTTGGACACTCTTCAAGCCTGGAATATAAATCACCCCCACAACACAACTTTCAGCTAAATGACAGGTCTATGTTGTGTATAACGAACGCCAGAGAGGAATGCATTCCTTAGAACAATCAACTGCACAAGATTAAAAGGCAACAGGTGCCCAGGGCTAAACCTGCGCAGGGCAGGGGGCCTCTGGTGGCATTGTCTATAGGGAGTTGAGTTGCTAACCCAAAGGTGGCACTTCTTGGGCAGGGAATTGGAATCTACCAGTGAGCAGCTCCACAGGAGAAAGATGGGCAGTTTCCCTCCAGGTGACAGCCTCCCAAAAAGCCTGCTGAAGGGTTAGCTATGGGTTAACAATGAGAGTTGAAGAAATCTCCAAAGGTAGGAAGGAATAGGAAAGAATGAATGGAAATAAAACACACAGAGAAGTGGCAAGCATGGTAACAATGTGGGGATTGTAATCTGTCCTGAAATACAATGCATATGAATTGCAGCACAGAAAATCAATTTGTTCTGTAAACTTTCATTGACATGCTAATAAAAATTTTTGGACAAAAATGGCAAATAGACACTTTCTCCCAAGAAGCTCTACAAGTTGGGTAAATAAACACATGAGAAGGCATGTAATATAAGTCATCAGGGAGAATGCCTCTACCTCATTCCCACTACTCACTAACCCATGGGCTTAGAGTAGACTTCAGCTCCCAGCAACCCTCCATCAGATTTCAGAGGCTGCAAATGTTCATGGGAGGAGTTACTCCAGTGGAGTAGCTGGTTATTTCAAACATCTGGCCTAGCATATAGCACTGTGCCACCAGAGCTTGTGTTAGTGAGATGTAGAGAAACAGAAGGCTCATCTATTGCTGATGAAGCTGTAAAAGGAGCAGCTGCTGTGGAAAGTTTGGCAGTAGCTGTTCTGTGGGAGAAGGATGGACAGTCTCCTCCCATGCAATTTATTGCCTCTAAAAACCTGGATGGTCAGCTATGCGTTCATTCCAACCCAACACACACAACATCATGTCATGTGCTGTCAAGTAACATCACATAAATTTTGTTAATTCTAATTTTTATCGACATAAATTTTATTAACAGTAATTATAATTATCCACTGGGTAATTCTATCCTTAATCTGATTTTTCTCCCACTATTAACCTCTCTCTTCTGCTTGTCTTTACATTTGACATTTCTTGTCTTTTTATATAAATTAGGCTGCACAATAGTTGTCCTTTTGGAACTGGCTTATTTCAGTTACCATACTGTCTTTAAGTTCCATCCATACCATAGAATGTATCAAGACATCATTTCTCCTGCTGGCTACGTGCTATTCTATTGTATATATGTACTATATATTTATCCATTCGTCTGTTTATGGGCATTTAAGGTGTTTCCACCTTTTGACTATTAGTAATTTTTTTAAGGTGTGCTTAGTTTTTGTTTAGGATGATAAAGGTGGTTTGGTGTTTTTTTTTTTTTTTTAAATATAGTGGTGAACACCAACACTACAGACATATTCTCAGTCCTCTGAGCAGTCAATTGTATGAATTCAAAGAGCAGCAATTGCCCAGGGATAAATGGAAGCAAGTACGACTGAGAGGTGGGAGAAGATACTCTTCTAATAAGTGGATTCGAATCAATGTCATAAACAGAACATGTCTGAATGGCTGACCAGAATACCAATCTGCTCTGTAAATTTCCACTTACAATAAAAACTTTAAAAAAGGTGACAGTTGCACAACATGGTGAATGTAATGAATGTTACTGAATTAAATGGCACACTTAAAATAGCCAAAATAGCAAGTTTCATGTTACATAATACAATGTTTAAAAATCTATTTTGAAGAAATATAATGCTCTTGTGAAAGTGCATTTCTAAACAAGACTAAAAATTAGATGGAACTTAAATTCTTTTAATCAGTTCTTTACAATTTCCCCAAAATAATACTCTCTTAAAAATGCCATTAAAAACCAGATGCTCTGCTGGAGAAGGAGGAACAATCTCTTCCTGTACCAGTCAGATCCAATTTGACGGTACACA